TAACATGCTTTGTCAATAGAAATTTGATTTTCTTGGATAATGAAGTATTTTTTAATTCGATTTGATTTGATATCATAATTCAAGTCAATACACTGTTAGTGTTAGCCGCATTCATTGTACAGTGTGTCCCATTTTGGTTGTACATAAGGGATATTTCAGTTGCTATTGGAGTTAGAAGGATGCGGTTTTCGCGAACGTTGGCTACTTTTTTGTCAAACGAAAGATACAGAATTGTCATCGCTCTTTTTGTTTTTCAGATACAAGGTGTTTTTGAAAATGTTGCATTTTGAGACACCCCTTGATCTCGATTCTTTCATAAGTGATCAAAAAAGTGACAACGGGTTCTATAGATCTTTCTACGCATAGATTCCAGTTGCGAAGTCAGTTTTTTTCTAGAAGTGATAGTTTTTGAATTATGAACCAAACATACGTTTTTTCAAATGAGACACCCTGTATATTGATAGCTCATTGGATAGCTCTGCTTTTGCTGATTTCAATGATACAAAGTTCGATAGGTTTATCTCTATCGTTTCCGTTTTTGTCATAAGAAATAATGTGTCAGAAAAGGACTTTGCATCTGTAAGGAAAATGGGAAAGGTATCTTTCTAACACATTGTTTCTTATGACAGAAACAGAAAAAAAAATTTTGTTCGAAAACTGTTAGAGATAAACCTATCCAATTTTATATTATTGAAATCAGCAAAAGCAAAACTATCCAATGAGCTTATAATATATAGAGGGTGTCTCATTTGAAAAAACGTCTAATTGGTTTGTAATTCAACTGACCAAGCCATTGGAAGCTACGTAAAAATATATAAGAATCCGTTGTCACCTTTTCGATCACTTTTGAGAGAACCGAGATACAAGGGGTGTCCTGAAATGCAAAAACACCTTGTATCTGAAAAACAAAAAGAGCAATGACAATTCTGTTGGAGCCATCGTTTGTTTGACAAAAAGTAGTCAACGTACGCGGAAACCGCATCCTTCTAACTCCAATAGCAACCGAGTTATCCCTTATGAACAACCAAAATGGGACACACTGTGCAACAAAACTAACACTGAAAATGCACAGAAAAGTTCGAAAACAATTTAATTTTACACAAATACAAAAAAACACCACCAAAAGCTAATTAAAATAAACCTAACCTCCAAACTTTCTTTCCATTTACGCCCCTATAAAGAAAAAGATAGACATAAATTTAACAGTACTGCGCATGCGTATGGTTATCGCTACCACTATGTCTATCGTCCGTAGGATAGCGGACGTTGTCGGTAGCGATATACGCTAAATGACATCCAAATGTCTTAGTTGTCAATTAGCGGCTACCGGTGATACTTTTTGAAAGCTTCGAAAACTGCCTTTTTTATTGGTCATCTACACTTATGAGAGTTATTGGAGTAAAGTCCATTCCAAAATATTTCGTTGACTTCACGGCTATAAAACCCTACCATAAATTATATAGCTATTAGCCTCTATTGTGTAGGTACCAGGTTCTTTTATGTAGGTACCGGGTTCCTTAATACCCACTCAAAGGTTTACAGGTACGGATTTTGTGCCCATTATAATGAAAACGAAAAAGGCGTTTCATAATATTATTTATTTATGTTATAATCTTATACTATCTTAATAATTACCAAAACTTAATATCTAATACAATATAATACAATACACAATTCAACCAAACCTAATCTATATTTAGTTCCGTTTCACTGTCACTGTCATCTTCATCTATGCCTAAACTAATTATTAATGGCTTAACATTAATACCTATTGAATTATAGGTTTCTTCGACTTTTATAACGTGATTGACAGAATTTTTCCAGCTTTGAACTGGAATATTATCTACACATTTTCTAATTAAATCTATTACAGCAGTACTAAGTGTAGGAGAGGTGTTTCCTCTCCTAACCATTGCCTTCAATTCATGCCAGATATGTTCTATTGGATTGAAAATACAATAATATGGAGGAAGACGCAAAACTGTATGACCACAAGCGCTAGCAAGATCGTCACAAATATATTCTTTTTTATCATTATATGATTTCAAAACGTTTAAAAGATCTTTCTTTGTATAATTTTCTTCGAAATACATATCATTTTCCATCATATATTTTTGAAGTTCTACTTTTGTATTACTTGCATTGGGCACTTTATTTTTTTGACGGCTGTGGTAACTAGCGTTGTCCATCACAATTATACTGTTTTCTGGTATGTTCGGAAGAAGGCGATTCTGAAACCATTCTTCAAATAATTTTGCATCGGTATCTTGATGATAATCTAATGATGAATTGGCTATTTTTTTTGCGGATAGCAGCAAAGAGTTTGGAACAAAACCATTTTCTGATCCGGCATGCAAAATTGTAATCCTCTGGCCTTTATTTGAGGGTGCTTTGGTTTGACATTTGGAGGTTGAGTCGCTCCATCCTCTTTTGGGAGTGTCATGGGTATCAAACCATGTTTCGTCAAGATATATTATCGGACGATTTTCTGCCCTATATTGTTTTATGGAACTTAAATATTCTCGACGCCATGCTTGTAATCGCTGGGATTCCATTAGCACTTGCCTCTTATTAATGGTTTGATATTTGAAACCCATTGCTTTCACAATTCTCCAAAGGCTTGTTCTGCTACATAATATATCAGTTTCGTCTTCTATAAGTACCTTTTTTAGAGAATCTATTGTAGGTATTATTTGTTTACTGTACAAATCATAAATTTTCCTACGAATCAACTCTTTATCCGCTTCTTCAACCTTTGTTGACTTGCCGCTGTCACACCGTTGCTTCCTTGGCTGGATGCGTTTGGCTACGATATCTTTAACCATAGATAATGGAGTTTGGTTAAAACGGATGATTCACTCACACTTTGATTATGATTATAGCCTCTCTGCAGAAGGGTTAAATAAACGTTCCTCACAATTTCCTTGGCATCTAGCGATAAATGTTTTTTTTTTTTGAAATACCACTTCCGGTTGCAATACTACCATCATTTGCCCATGGACGCCACATTTTTTTACCTTTTAATGCGTTTTTTTTTTCTCCTAATATTTCTGCACTATTTATTTATTTGGTAACTCAATATAATTCAATTTTATCAATTTCTTTCGTGGATTCTGTGCTCTTGTGTTTATTTATTAGACCCTAATTGCATAAGCATCATGGAAAAATTCTAGAAGATGGAGTGGCAGATGTTTGAGAGAATGTGATTTTGACGGAAAGAAGCTCCAATCAGATTTCTTTAATTGAGAATTCGATGTTTTGAAATCTGTTTTTAATCCATTCAATAGATAAAAAAAACTACAAAGGTATATGGTATAGGTATATAAACCAAAACATGATCATCTTGCCAATTTAATTCGGTAAAGTGCTTATAGGCTTATAGATATGCTTTTCGTACCTGTTGGACAGTTTTCATTGGTAGTTTGTTTATATTTTGGTAGTTATTGATTCAAACTTTTTCTATATTTTTTTTTCACGTTTCTCATGAGGAATTGCGTGCCATTCGGCGTTTTCGGAAACGAGACTCTAGCCTCTTGCCTTTCAACAGTCAAGAGTATTCGGAAAAAGTGTCTGATCTGCCAATACTTTGAGTTTTGTGGGATTTTACTATTGGGGCACGTGTTTTTTTGGTTGGCTCATTAGTGTTTGTTTCATCTTTTCTGACTCAACCAATTTGCATTGCGGATTTAAAACATTTCTTGCCATTACGTTGTTTTGAATGCTTATTTAGGCCTATACAGTGAGTTCATAAAATCCCGCTTAAATTCATTATTTTGAAAACGGTAGAATTTTTGAAAAATCGCTCAGACACGTCAATTTTGTTTTTTTGCTTAAAATTTTTCGATATATTTTTTATTATACAGGGTGTCTCAAAAATAGCTTGGCTGGTATCAACTTTATTTTTTTTATAATACCCCCTTATATGTATATTATGACATTTCTGGATTCTGCAGAAAATTCTAGACAAATTTCATGTACAATAATATATACCTATCTCCAACTGTTTCGGAAATATTGACAGTTGAAAATTGACTTTTTTGCAACCAATTTCACATTCTCGTTTGTTGTAGCTTTTCATAAGGTGTCATTTGACACCAACTTTGATTTTAACTGGAGATTAAATTTAACAGGAATTTTTAATCATGGAATAACTTCAAAGTGGGTGTCAAATGATAGTTTATGAAAAACTAAGACAAAAATGTATGATCGGTTTTGCTGTAAAATCAACAGTTCGGTTTACAGTTTGTCAAATATGCAAAAAAGGCAATTTTCAACTGCCAATATTTCTGAAACAGATGAAGATAGGTATATAACATTGTACATGAGATTTGTCTAGAATTTTTCGCAGAATCCAGAAATGTCATAATATACAGGGGGTACCATTTAAAAAAATTAAGTTAATACCAGCCAGGCTATTTTTGAGACACCCTGTATGATAAAAAAATATATCGGAAAATTTCAAACAAAAAAAACAAAAAAACAAAATTTACGTGTCTGCGCGATTTTTCAAAAATTCTACCGTTTCCAAAATAATGAATGTATGCGGGACTTTATGAACTCAGTGTATATTCAAAAATAAAAACGGAATATTCCGGTAATTAGTTCGCAGTTTATGAATGTGCCATAATTTTGACCTGAGGCTGTTTTTTTTTTCAAATAAATGTATTGGCTTTGCATTGAAATATATTTTTTATTTGTTTTATAACTGGTAAATAGTAAATACATAATTCATTATCTTTTTAGTATGTCGTTCCAGCTCTATCTACATTAGATCGCAGAATTTTTCCAAGTTAGGTTGAGACTTGATCTATCTTCATTTAAATTCATTCAAATAATTCTATCTTTTGTCACTTAGTGAAAGTATTTCAGAGTTGATAACTTACCAAAGCTTCTTAAGTTTGTAGATCCTAATAATGTGATTTTGATTTCTTATGTGTGTTGGCGTCACTCATGCAGAAATGTTCGTAATATACCTACTGAAAATGTGTACCCTTTTTCAGATATCAGCAAGACTCCAAACCTCCTTCTCAATACATGCACTACAAAACTGCTTCCTCCATAGAAGAATCCTATCAGCATCAAGAATTCCACCATCAGCATCATCACCATCAGGACTCTTCCCACCAGCACTTAGTGCAAACGTATTTACCTGGAGAACGTAGTGACGCTGATAGTGAAGTGGATGGTCAAGAATTTGACAAATACCTAGCAGCGGAAACTAGAAATATTGACTCGAATCATAATTATCACAATAGAGGTGATAACGTAGCGCCCTCATCAGTGATTAATAGTGGTTATTCTTATAACAATCATACAAGTGTAATTCTACAAACTGCGCCAAATAATAACAACATGTCAGAATTACGGCCGGAAGTTTACGATTTGGCAACGGCGACTACTAACGGGGTCGGAATGGTGGCGCCGAAAAGTGAGGATGAGTTTAGTGAAATTTTAGCCGGCGTTAGGAAAACGTGCTTTAGTACGTAGTCCGTAGTACCTAAGTAGTGATCAATTAAATAGTGAATTTAGTTCAAATTAATAAACTGTTTTTTTGCTAAAGACAATCAAAAATCGAATTTTAATAGTGGCCCTCTGTCCAGCATATCAGGTTTTCGATTATTAGTAAAGAATATCGCAGGGCTAACATGGATTTTTTGAGCTATATGGATTTTGTCAATTTTTTTTTCATGTCAAATTCTTAACAACCCTGTAAATGGAATTTTGGATGTATTACGGTTTGTGAGATATAAGCGTTGAAAAATTAACTTTTTTCTTGAAGAATATACAATATACTGAGGTTTGTTAGTCAAAGTATTGAGAGGTCAACATATTTCACGTCACAAATGTTTACAGGTTCCAGAATAGTTTGACCTATCGTATTTTCACTAACAAAAATCAGTATATGGTATAAATTTACCATATACTTTTTCTTGAAAAATTTCAAGAAAAAGGTTTCAACGGTTATATCTCATAAACCTTAATACCTACAAGATTTGGTCCCATTTGAAAGGTTGTTCAGAATTCAATCCTCTACAACATAATATCAGAAAACTGGCAAAATCCATGCCGAAAAGTCCCATGGTATCTTGCATTATTCTTTCGTGCAAACTGATGTATGATGGCTTCCTGTGTAAGTAAATTTTGAATGGCATTTCCATGCAAGTGAAAACAACTTGAAAAAATTCAGATGTGTCAAGTTATTTTTTTAGCATTAGGTAGGAACGTTTATTCTTTTTATGCACATGGGCCACTTGGAGTAACCCAGGTGCTTGTGATGCCCGTAATGATCTTTCCATTTGAAAAACGAGAAACTAATCTCGTTCTGGTTCCTTCTGGAACAACCCAAAGGAACACTGAGCAACACTTGGGTCTATTTAAAATGTTTAAAAAAATACACTCATTGTTGTTCGAATTAGAGCCAGTTCTAGTGCAATAATAACTAAAAAAAATTGCAATTTTTTTTTATGTGGATAATAAACTGTATATGTATTTGTATAAATATTTTATATTATTATCATTCTTATTATTTTTAAAAGGTTTGTCCCAACCCCACCGAAAGTCGCTCAAGGAGAGTCAGCCCCATTCTGTAACTTTTACTAAATGAAGATCGTCATCGTTAAGTCACAATTGAGAACTACAAAATCGAAATTATCGCTACTAATTAGCAACGGGCAAGAGGTCCAACCCAGGAAGCTGGCTTCCTTTTGAAGAAGCCTACACCGTAATCAAAATTCGTCTCGATATGGGTAGTTTATTGATTTCCGATATCGATACAGAATACCAGTTTTTTCAGATATCGATTTATTCGGGCAATTCAATTTTAGTTAGAGAATGGGGTTGAATCACTTTTTTGCGCAATGTCTTGTACAAAAATACGACCGTGCTTGAAAGGATTTTTGGCTAGGTTGGAACAGACCTAAAGTAAATTTCTGAACTGAAATTATTGTTAATTGTATTTTTGTGTATAAATAAAGAAATTTTATAATAAATACATAAATCCAAAATTGGAGTTTGTTTTATGAAGCAATCCTTCAAGAAGAAAAAAATTTACGGCACACTGTACAAACAAAAGATAAATAAATAAATACGGTGGGATTTCAGAATAAATATTACACCTTTCTAGTGTTTGTTCGGGCATTATATTTACGTCACAAGTATTACACTCTAAGATAAATATTAATAATAATTAATATTATAAAAACTCTACAATATTCAACTTGGATTTTTCCAAAAAAAAAAAAATCTCAAAGTAATGGTGAATTGATTTCTCAATTTTTAAGTTGAGGTTAGGGAGCAAATTTGGAATCCAAAAATGTTTTGCAATTGGCGCAGGAGGATAGAAGGAGATATTTTGACGTGACTTTGAGGTCAGAACATCCAAGTAGGCACGGAAGCGCCGCAAATGTACAGTTGCGGCCATTGGAATTGGCACACATTTTTGAACTCACCTTGTATTGCATCAAAATTTGACTTTTTTACAAACCGTGAATGCCAAAATTTTGTCAGTTTTGGTTACAATACAAAGCGCGCTCAAAAAGTTGTGCCAATTCCAATGGCCGCAACTGTACCTAAATGTAAACGCACATCAAGTAAAAAAAAAAACATTCGTCTATGTCAGAAAAGATTCTTACACTTTCGCTGCAGTGGAATTACTGATTTGTCAAAAATCTGAAAATTTTCCATTTTATTTATTTATTTATTTATTGACTTTTGGAATACAAACAGAATATAATTCCACTACCTACATCAGTGTGTATCCACTTAGCAATAGAGTAGGTAATAGTTAACAGAGAGCAATCACCAAAATACAAAAATAACGAAACATTAATGATGCTATACTAAGAGGAAGAACCTGCTAAATCAAAGGACGCTTGATACTAAAAAAAAACTGTCAACCAGAGTGAGAAAATAACCTTATCAACATATTAAGAAATAAACTGCTGGAAAAATGAAGCGGAACAAGAGAATTTTTAGGTCCTTTAGGAACTTTGGATTCCAATATTACGCGATCTAAAAAAAATATCAATGCGCGGTTTGCGAAATTATCTTTCAAATTCCGCAAACCGCTCATTGATATCCTTCTAAGTTCGCGTAATATTGTAATCCAAATGTAACCTAAAAATTCGCTCGTTCCGCTTCATTTGTCCAACAGTTTATTTACTTTTAAACCACACAACATCAGGTGTCGTTTCGCTTTGAAGGTATACAAAAAAACTATTGAATATTTTTCTTAAAAAATGGTACAGACCTATTGGTATACCTGAATCATTTTGTTATAGATGCTATTCACGCTTTGTTGTTGACCTAATATATTTTTGTTCGTCTTTTATAGAAGATTTCAGAAATGAAATTACTTAAACATTTGGAAGCATTTCCTATGACTCCAATAACATTATTTCCTTGAAAAAATTAAAGGAATATAATTAAGTAGGTACAATAAAGTGTACGCCTACATGCAATGACTTGTTAGAAATTTTGCATATTATTTGATTAATGTGGTTGCATTAAGTATACGAATTTCGGTAGGCCAACTAGTAAATGCTTCATCGTCTCATCTCGATTTTGCGATCTCTAGCAGATCCTGGATATCAAAACTCGGTAGCGGAGTAGGAAATTGGAATACACAATCCAAGATTTTCCAAGCATTGCTGAAATAAATGCTGCAAAACGGCAGTGGTCAGAAAAATGTAGAGTGGTCCACAAAAACCGGAATTTTGTTTATGAGCTGTTACTTTTTTTTTGTTGACCAATTTCCTTTTGTTTTGGCTTGTTTGAAAGAGAATTGAACAAGCTAACGAACCAAAGTGAAACTTTTGAAATTTGGGAAAAATTCAAAATGGCGAACTTCTTCAAAAACTAACTAGTTTTGGATATGAAAAGGTGAAATTCGATCTCACAAAAATTTCAATATTTCACTTAGTTTTCAACCGATTTTTCTTGTCGAGGTCTTAAAATGTTCGAAAAATTATGAACTTTAAGAATTTATTAAAAAAAGTTATGCAGGGGGTCACAAAAAAGTTCCAGCGCTATCCAAAGCTAGGTGATTTATGAAAAAGTTTCACTTCGCTTCGTAAGCCTGTTCATTTCTCTTTCAAACAAGCCTAAATAAAATAAAGGAAATTGGTCAACAACAGAAAAAATTATAGCTCAAAAACAAAATTCCGGTTTTTTTTTTGGACCACCCTATATATATTTCCAAATGCAGTAGGAAATATGGATTGCACGCATGTCAGAATTCCTAAATTTGAGTTATATGGGGATGAATGCATTAATAGTAATGACTTTTCAAGCATCAATGTGCAAGCAATATGCAACGCTGAAGAAATGTTCACTAGTGTAGATTGTCATTTGGTTTTATTTGTTAATATTTATACAGGGTGTCACGAAAGGTTTGTTACAAACTTCTAGGAATGGCAGATCTCGTAAAAATTAAGGTTTTTTCTAAATAAACATATCTTCGGAAATGCTTCGCTTTCCAGATACAAGGTGTTAAAATTTGTAAAAAAAAATTAATTTTTTTGATAATTCTTTGAAATGCGTTGCACGAATTGAATGATATTTTCACAGTTTGTTGACACCCTCATGGGGTATCTTTTGGACTGCTCAGAGTTGACCCAGTAATTTCAGGGGCGTGCCCACAGGTCATGTCGGATGGTTTTTTGCACGAAAAACATCGCCAAGGACGCCAAGTGGATTTATTTTCAATAAGGATATGTTTTTTGAATAAAACACTTAAAGATTTTTTGTCTCTTAATTTTTTCCCGTATGCTGCTTTGTTTTCGAGATAAAATCTAAAAACTACTAGGTCACGAGCGCGCTTCGCGCTCTTTTTTTTAAATCAAGTCCATCAAAATAATTATAAAATGGAAAATATTTATTAGGTGTTGTACAAAAAACAGCATAATTTTTGTTTTAAATGTACACTATACATTAAATGTAACAGTGAGATAAGTTGTATAGATGTTATTTTAGTGAAGAAATTTCAAATGCGATGGATGGAGTTGGTGACGAATTATTTTTGTATGGTATATCATAATGATTTTAAATCGATCACATTTCTTGAATGTACGGTGTGCGTATGTCTACTTATCTCATTCTGTTTTATGGAACTCGTAGGTATACATTTTTCGAAGTGGTTTAATTAAAACAGAATAATCATAACCATAATCAAGGTGTTATTATAAACCGAGTTATTAACTATTTGTGTGCTGTGGTATAATACGAGATATCGAGTCTTAATTTTTTTTTTTACATTTTCATGAAGTTACATACATACCTAGATTCTTCTATTGGACCTCGAAAAAATATTAAACCACTTCCTTGCTTTGAATCTTTGAAAAACAACCATCTACAGAGCAATATCTAATAGCACAGCTAATAGACATATTGTCAGAGAATTGTCACATAAATAAAAAATTCACAGTCCTTCGCAAAAATGCAACCGAGGAGAACATTGAAAATGCCGAAGCAAACTTCAACGCTAATGCTTGTGATTATTGTGAGCTTTGAGATCCGCTAAAATTCAACCCTTTCCAGATTTTCCAGAATTTTTCCGACCCAATCCAGAAATTTCCATGCGTTTTCCAGACGTTTCCAGAAATTTCCAGACTTTATCCAGATTTTTCCAGACTTAGCTAGACTTTATTCAGACTTGTTTAAATTTCTCCAGACCGTATCAACCTTTTTCCAGACGTTTCCAGAAATTTCCAGACTTTCCCAGACTTTATCCAGACTTTTATAGACTTAGCTGGATTTTTCCAAACTTTATCCAGACTTGTCTAGATTTCTCCAGACCTAATAGAGCCTTTTCCAGACGTTTCTAGAAATTTTCTGGCTTTTCCAGACTATATCCAAACGTATCCAGACTTTTCCAGATTAAGCTAGACTTTATCCAGACTTGTCTAGATTTCTCCAGACCTTATCCAGCCCTTTCCTGACCTCTCCGACTTCTTCCAAACAATTTCCCGACTTCAAATACACTTTTCCTTACTTTATCCAGACTTGTCTGAATTTCTCCAGACCTTATCAAGCCTTTTCCAGACGTTACCAGAAATTTCCAGGCTTTTCCAGACTTTATCCAGACTTTTGTAGACTTGGCTGGATTTTTCCAGACTTTATTCAGACTTGTCTAGATTTCTCCAGACCTAATAGAGCCTTTTCCAGACGTTTCCAGAAATTTTTTTTCTCTTTTCCAGACTTTATCCAAACTTATCCAGACTTTTCCAGACTTAGCTAGACTTTATCCAGACTAATCCTGACTTTATCCAGACTTGTCTGAATTTCTCCAGACCTTATTAAGCCTTTTCCAGACGTTTCCAGAAATTTCCAGGCTTTTCCAGACTTTATCCAGACTTTTCTAGACTTGGCTAGATTTTTCCAGACTTTATCCAGACTTTTCTAGATTTCTCCAGACCTAATAGAGCCTTTTCCAGACGTTTCCAGAAATTTTCTCGCTCTTTTCCAGACTTTATCCAAACTTATCCAGACTTTTCCAGACTTAGCTAGACTTTATCCAGACTTATCCAGACTTTATCCAGACTTGTCTAGATTTCTCCAGACCTTATCTAGCCCTTTGACCTCTCCGGACTTCTTCCAAACACTTTCCCGACTTCAAATACACTTTTCCAGACCTTACGCAGACTTGTCTGAATTTCTCCAGACCTTATCCAGCCTTTTCCCGACGTTTCCAGAAATTTCCAGGCTTTTCCAGACTTTATCCTGACTTTTCCAGACTTTGGTAGATTTTTCCAGACTTTATCCAGACTTGTCTAGATTTCACCAGACCTAATAGAGCCTTTCCAGACGTTTCCAGAAATTTTCTGGCTTTTCCAGACTTTATCCAAACTTATCCAAACTTTTGCAGACTTAATCCAGCCTTATCCAGACTTTATCCAGACTTGTCTAAATTTCTCCAGACCTTATCCAGCCCTTTGCTGACCTCTCCGGACTTCTTCCAAACACCCGACTTCAATTTTGTATAAGTAATTGCCCATTTATGAGTC